ATTATTGTATAATACTGTATAAATAGTATTGTGTAATTAACTTGAACCATTGTGTATTTAATTTGAATTTTGCTACAGTAGGCTCTGTTCTTAACTGTTGGTCATTTGTAACTCTGGTGTTCTTAACCCGGGGACTACCTGTATTTTCTGAGGTTTTTTTTTTTTTTCAGATCAAGTTCTGAAACCAGAAATGAATCCAAATGGGAAGGAAGGAAATGGTCTTGTGGGAGGCATTTCTAGGGAAAATTGGCAAACACACAACATTTTACATTTTGTTCCTTTCTGTATGCTGATCAGCCCCGCTCTTATTTTTGGCATTTCTTTTTTCCCCAACAAATATAAGATTGGGACCACATTTTTGCTGGAAACATACTTAGTGACATAATCATATGCCATATAACTGGTACATGTTGGATTTTTTTCTGTGCTATGAAGCATTTTTTAATTTGCTTGGATAGATAGTAATACATTGTCTATAGGGCTACACAGATTTTTCAAGAGGGTGCTTGACTTCAATGAAGACTTGAAGCTATTTTATGAAGCAAGGTAACCCCCTTATTTTTAACACCAAGATAGCTATGTTGCTTTGTTTTGCTTTCTCTCTATCTTCCAAGGAGTTCTAGTAATTGGAAGAAGCTTCTGCACATGTGCAGAAGCCTTTCCATTGTTACAAGTAAACTACTAAAATCATCCTTCAGTTATTGGAATTGTGGTTGAGACTTTAAGAAGCTATAAAACAACTAGCCAAGAGGAAATTGCATTATGTCTTTGTCTCAAGAAGGAGTATCTTGTTGCCTGTGCTGTATGGAGAGCCTTGTAAAGGTAAAGCCAAGGGGGTGATAGTGTATTCTGTGTCTTGGCTTGTAGTTTTAGCCAGTAGAGATGAGGGGGGAGAGAAGCATGCCAGAACTGTTGTGGCTGTGATGAGGCCATCTCCATTACTAGGTATCCACCTCTTCCCACTATATATTAATGTGGCAAATCTCATATTCTGTTGTTCTGCTAATGGTTCTATGCTAAATGAGTATGAATAGCTGAATGTCATTACAGTATGAAAAAAATAAAACTTTTTTAAAAAGAAAAAAGCTGAAAAAAAAGACCCTTTATTATGTGATTAAGAAATAGCAATGTATATGGATTAAAACCGGAATGACTCGGTCTCCAATCCCCTGCCACCAATCTTAATAGACAAAAATGGCCCTATCATTCTCTCTCATCCTCAGTCACTCACCTATGCTGATGGGAACAGGATAGAAATATAACTATTCAATAATATATAATTGTCTTGTATTAAGAGGATGCAGTCTTTTGAAAACTTATCTGGAATAAAGTTCAATAATGCATAGACAATTTTTTTGGAATGTACACAAGTTCATTTTATTTTTATTTATTTATCAGTCCAATTTAGCGCCTGCCCTCTGGAAAGAGGTTCCCCCCCCACAATCCAGATGGCCCCCACTGTAGTGTTGTTTAGAAGAGCCGTGAAGACCTGGCTCTTCACCCAGGCCTTTGGCGAGGAAGGGTGAGGCCCCTCGCTTCATTGCACTTGCCATCTTTTATCTTTATCTTTGTTTTATTGATTTGATTGTAATTTATTTGTTTGATTGTTGGGAACCACCCAGAGTTAGTGAGAGTCAGGTGACATACAGGTTTAATAAATAAATAAATAATAATAATTATTAATATAGTCACCCATCTATCCAAGAAATGCTGGGCAGAAAACAAAGTAAAAACAAGGGACTCCAGTAAACCAAAGAAACCAAATAAAACTACATCGTGGCTCAGTAAAACCACAGAATCACTAGTCACATACATCTCTACCACAGTCCCTATACTAACATCCTGACTCCAATATCTGGAGGAGCTGGGTCTTCATGGCCTTATGAAAGGCCAATAGACTGGGGGCTGTCCATATTTCAGACTGTTCCGTAGGACAGGTCCCATAACAGAGAAGAGACTCACCAGGTGACATTGTTTTAGCAACAATATCCAGAGCATGCTCACCCTGCTAGATCTAGAGGGACAAGTAGAAACCATCAGGGAGAGGTAGTCCTGCAAGTAACTTGGTCCCATGCCATGCCTACTAGCAGCTAAGTAAAGCTCATATAGTAGTGTTGTTACATGGGTGTACCATGGTGTGCCCCAAACTGTACATGCGACTGCATTCTGGACCAGCTGAAGCTTCCAAATGTTCTTCAAAGGCAGACTCATGTACAGCACTTTCCAGTAGTCCGTTCGGAGGTGACTAAGGCATGATGACCATGAGTAGTGCCTCCTGATCTGGGAATGGGCATAACTGGTTCCTGAAATCTATTTGTGCAAAAGCTCTCCTGCCTGTGGCTGCCATCTACTCCATGAGCAACAGCTGTGACCCCAGGAGAACCTGAAGATTGTGCACCAGCTCTGGCTGGGATGGTGTAACCCCATTCAGGGTTAATGATGGAAAAATACTAGATCCAAAAGGCCCTAAAACCCACAGCCATTCAGTCTTGTGGGGATTGAATTTATGCTGGTTCTTCCCTGTCCAGACCAGCACCACTTCCAGGTATTGGGAAAATATCTTCTCAGGCCTGGGATAAGATATATAACTGAGTATCATCACCATACTGATGATACTTAACCCTGTGCCATTGGATGATCTCAGCCAGTGGTTTCATATGGATGTTAAATAGAAGAGGGGAGAGAGTCAAGCCTTGTGGCACCCTACCAAACAGGGGCCTAGACCTGGACCCCCCCCCCACCTCCCAAACAGTGAACTGGCCTTAGAGGAAGGATGAGAACCACTGAAGAAGTTCTGGCTTAATTATACAAGTTCTCTAATCCCTCAGAAGACCAGAAATTTAAAACAAGCGAGCAAATAATATATATTCCAAAAACCAAGGAAAATTACTCGTACTGTCTTTGTAACTAATCTGTTACAGTAATTTTTAATATAATGGTTAATTAGATTTTACTATTTTAAATTTATGTAATCCCATACTAGTGGGCTAATATCAAACACAAAACAGTTTAAATAACAACAGAACATAACATGGAAAATCAACCAGGTAGGGAAAACATGCAGAGGCTTCAGGAATTATTTCCATTCCCTTTACCACCAGGAACCAAATGTTTGTGTCAGTGTGCGTTGGGAAACTCAGGGAAGACTGAATATATTCCACTCCACACATGACAAGGAGGGAGCTTAGAGTGAAGCAGTCACCATCATTCCAAGCTACTGCTCAACTGCTTTTCCCACAGGGATGCATTGGGGATATCTTTTCTTCTGGTCTGATTTTCCTATTTTTGAACTTTTGCCAGCTTCTCCCCTGAATGTAGTCCCATTCTTTTGAATTTTCAGAGAGTTATAGTGTTGACAAAGCCCTGATCCCCTTTACATAATTTCTTTCCATTATTCTATATTGCTATATATATCTATATATCTATCTGTATCTATATCTATCACCAGTTCAGAACAGCCATAGCATTGCCTGGACTTGGTTTATACTTGAGGGTCATTTTGATGAGGAATTTAAGTAATTTTAGGATAAAACTAAACCAATATTAATAATAATAGCCAAAACTTTAACTGTGGAATGAAAAATGTGGAATGAAAAATGATCAGAATCAATTTATTATGTTAAACTATGTGTCTGTGTGTCCCTGAGTTGTCTGTGCGATGGATGAATTAACAATGTGCTATAATAAAAAGGAGGGAAGACGAAAAAAATGGCCTGGAAATTTGTTTAAGAAAAACAATCCAGCTTGTTCACATTTGGCCAAATTTTCTGAAAGTCCTATTTCTATTTCCTTCAAGAATGAAACACAATTAGAAAAAGTGATGTGTATACAATTAAAGCAGAATAACATGAAAAAAGATGAACTTCGGAGATGAAGACTTTTTATATATGATACTTGTTGGTTTAGCATACCTTATAAATGAGTGTGTTATAATATGAGAATAATTTGCTATTCTTTCAAATATTTACTGAATTACCAGATTAGTTGCCCCAGTGTCTGAATCTGTATTCTATCAGAGATACCAGTTTACAGGCAATATTAAAATATAAAAGAAGTGTTCTTAGTTCTTCAGCTGCTCACGGTAGATGGAAGGAGTCAAAAACAGGGCAGTGAGCACTAACATACTTGCTTGATCCTAGTTACTGGATTTCCAAATTACCCTTGTCTGCCATTGTGCTCGTAAGAGGTAATGTACCATCTATATTTTTTATGTTAGATTTTTATACATCTGAAAATACAGTGTCTGAGAAATTGTTTCAGATCAAACTTGCTATTTTTCTTCTTCCTTAGGACTGGCAGCCTCCATTTGCATGCGATGTTGATAAACTTCATTTTACTCCACGAATCCAAAGGCTGAATGAATTGGAGGTAATGACCCCAAAAATATAAATTGCATTAATAATGAATTTCTTATACTTTATCATTGCATACAGAGTTTTGAAATTAGTTATGGACGTGTATAAACCAATTAAATAATCTTCAAATTATTTTTTGTCACAGCATGTACATATTTCAGTGTTTATGGCTCAAATTAATTGTTGCTTTAAAATCTCAGTCCCTCAATTTGTTTCACAGCACACATCATTTTATATACTTCTATTTTGTCATTACCATCTCCTTTCCACAGCTTTCTGTTAACCTGAAAAGACTCAAACATTGTAGCCTTCCATTCTGGTATAGATGTACCCATCATTTATTGTATTTGCTGACATTTCTAGCTCTATAATATTTCAGTGTAGTAACCAAGTGTGGTTACACCATAGATTTAAGAAAAGGGATCAACAGTTTTATTTTTTATTCTTTACTTAATGCAGTTTCTTTTTTGTGATAAAGTTATTATTTTTATTTATATAGATGTAAAGAACTCCTGACTCTAACCAAATCTAGGTGCTTTACATAATAAGAAACCAGCATATAAAAGAAATCGATGATAGGTGTCTGGAAAAAAAACATACAAAACAGAACAAAAACTTATAAGGCAAAATCTTACAGGGTCTTACCTACCTCTCTGCCCCAGAGCCTGGGAGAATAGCCAGGTTTTCAGTGGCTTTTGGAACATCAGGGTGGGAGCCATGCAGATCTCTGGGGGAATACTGTTTCAGAGGGCTGGCACTGCAACAGAGAAGGCATCCCTCCAAAACCCCAATTGATGACACTGTTTAATATGTTAGTGTTTTCACTGAGGTGTTTTCTCAGCCCCATGATCCTATGCCTGGGCAAAATCTGCAGTTTTAATGGCCACTTCCAGTTCAGAAACTTAGATTTGAAATCCTTTGCTGCCCCTCTTTGGTTTAACTATCCTAAGTTATTTGAAGTTTTTAGCAATTTGACCATCCTTTTACTCATCCTAACTCTAGGTAAGTAGTTCTCTACAGATATGTGAAATTTGGAAGTAGTGTAGAATGGACATAGGGTAAATTATTGAAATATTAGTCTGTGCAATAAATGATAAATAATGGAATGTTTGTAAACACAGTACTGTGCAAAAGTTTTAGGCAGGTGTGAAAAAATGCTTTAAAGTAAGAATGCTTTCAAAAATATATATGGTAGTTGTTTATATTTATCAATTTACAAAATGCAAAGTGAGCGAACTGAAGAAAAATCTAAATCAAATCAATATTTGGTGTGACTACCCTTTGGCTTCAAACCAGCATCAATTCTTACACTTGCATACTTCATACACTTGCACAAAGTCAGGGATCTTGTAGGATTAGAGTCAGGTGTATGATTAACCCATTATAG